TCAGGGGACTCTGGTCCTGTATGAAATCCTCAGGGGACTCTGGTCCTATGAAATCCTCAGAGGGCTCTGGTCCTGTATGAAACCCTCAGGGGGCTCTGGTCCTATGAAATCCTCAGGGGGCTCTGGTCCCTGACTTGTGTGTGACAGTGTATCCCAGCTGCAGCGACTGGTGGAGATCTGCCGTGAGGGCTGCAGGAATACCCAGACACGCAGGGCGGGTAGTGGCAGTCAGAAGGCCATCTGTAATGGAAAGTAATCCTCTGGCATTACCCTGGGGGGTGCGCATGCACGAGTACGTGCACACGTATGCATGAGAGAACGGGAATGCATGTGCTTGTGTGTCTGTTTCCCCAGCAAGATGAAACTTGTGTTTAAGTCTTAAGTTGCCTTAAAGATAAAAACAGTCTTAATGTATTTGAAAAATGTAAGCCCAACTTTTATTTTTCTTGATTAGCATTATTATAAATTCTACAAACAGGAAACTTAACCCAGGGAGGTTAAAAGATACCCCAGGTCACAGCTGCTGGACCCACCGACCCCTCACCAAAGCCCCACGGTGACTTGAAGGGTCTAGCAGGAACACATTATGGCCTGGAGAACTTCAAACTGCAACCATTTATAGTAAGCCTAAAACTTGTTTTCTAGGTTTACTCCCTAGAAGAAAGGAGACTACGGCTTACTGTCTGTCTACTTAGAGGGCTCTGAGCAAGCTGGGCAGCCGGGCACCCCCAGTGGAGGGACTGAGGCCTGAGCAGGGCCTGTATGCCATCTGTCCTCGCTCAGCCTCACGCTGACTGCTACTGGGACGGTCAGTGCTGGGATGCGAGGCCTTCCGGAGGGAAGTCAGTGGATACGAGGAATCAAGGCCTTGCTTGTGTGAGCTCCCTGTGGAGGAACTGGGTTCCTCACACAAGCCGTACACAGCTTGTCCACCGCTGGCTGGTGTTCGCCTCCCAGATCTTCGTGCCTGCCTACCCTTCTGCTTTCTACCGTGAACTGAGCTCTTGCAGGAAGCAAGGAGAGGCAGGCATACCATGTTCTTGGACTTCTCAGACTACGGAACTGTGAGCCAAAATAAACTTCTTTCATGAATCACCCAGTATCCTGTTTCCAAATACACGGTCTGAGGGACCTCGGAGGCCAGTTCTCTGAGTGTGGCAGACTGAGAAGATGAGGCAGGAGATGCTGTAGACAGCCTGAAAAAAACTCCACTGTCTTGAGAAGCTTCCTAGAGCTCTGGATGAGTGATTACAGCTACAAGGCTGAGAAGCCTCAGGAAGAGAACATCACGACAGGCTGGCAGCACACAGCAAGGTAATGGGAATACATGGAAATCCAGGAGAGAGGCTTTCTCATAAGCAAGGAGAAACAACAAACTAAACAAGTGCGGACACAGAAGCCACGGAGTTCCCACACAGCAATAACACCGAGAATGTGCAAAATAAGCTCAGAAAAGTAAGTATTAACCACATAAAACGCATGTGTCGGCAGTGTGGGACAGGCAACCACTAAGTGCGCTCAAGTTATTTAACCTCTCCCTTTCGGCTTATTCACCTACAAATGGGAGAATCCGGCTCATCCTGGTGGCACAGTACCGAAGGCCCAACTACCTAGAAGACTTAAGGCAGGCACATGGCAGGCTCAAGACCTGCCCGGGGTACAGTGTGAATTCAAGGCCAGGTTGGGCAATTTAGTGAGATCTTGTTTCAAAATACAGAGCCAACAGGGCTGGTGATGCCCTGTCTGAATACATGAGGCCCTAGGTACCATGCCCAGCACACCATCTTCAGAAGGGCACTGTCTCCATAACACTGCTGTTAGATGCAAATTAAAAACTGTGAGGGTCTGAGGAGCTGGCTCAAGGAGTCCTCCTGCTTGCTCAGGACCTGAGCAACTTCATAGACCTCGGACCCATGTGAAAACCTAATCATGACAGAGTGTGTCTACAACCCCAGTGCTGGGAGACAGAGACAGGTGGACCCCAGGGACTGCTGGCTCCCCAGCCTGACCAAAACAGTGGCCTCAGTTTAAAAACACCAGGTACCCATCCCCTCCACAGAAAGTCTGCATAAGCCATCCATCTTTCTTCACACAGGAGGTCCTCCTAGGTTAAACACGTTCGTGGCCTTACCTTTAATACTCCTCTATCCTTTTTGATAGTAATGTCTTCTCCCTGTTCAACCATGATAGCTGCTGGGTTCTCTTCATTGTTACTGGTGCCTTCATCAGTAGTCATTGTCTTCATAAGTAAAACCTGCCAAGAGAAACGTATTTCCTTCAGTGAAAATATCACTTCTTAACATACCTGAAAAGCCCCTGAGAACTGAGCTTACATGAGCCTAACAGGGTTAAAACCCCAGAAACAACAACAAAAGCATTCGCTGTGCGTATGTACTGATGTCATCAGACAGGTAAGTAAAACCTTGCCCAGTTCTTCAATTCCCGTCTAGCCGTGGTCCTAGATTACAGAGTAGATTCAGGTCTGCCGGTAATTACAGCCCTTCACATGAGCACGGAGGGAGAAGCTGCCTCCCAGAACTTGGAAACAGTCTTCTCCTGCAGCCATACTTTTGAGAGAGCGGGGAGCTTCTGGTGCTAAAGACATCAGTCAAAAGCCATCAGTCAGGATCAGTGAGGGACAGCTAAGAGATCAGCAGGGATCCCACCTCAGGAAGCAAGCACTCCTCACCTCTGCGCCTTCTGAAGGCCTACACTTTCCACCTCTCACTCCAAACAGCTGCACTATGGGGTTTTAGGGTTGGGTGTGCTGGTTCATGCCTACAACCCCAGCGCTCAGGAGGTAGTGGCAGCAGGGTAGCGAGTTCAAAGCCAACCTGAGCTACATAATGAGTTACAGGTTAGCCTGAGGTAACAGACACCATCTCAAAAAAGAAGAAAGCCAAAGAAGGAGAGAACAAAGTTCACTTTCCCCCAGCACCCCAGGAACCTCTCACAGGGTTCGTATGAGACGAACCCTGCTTTTCAGATCTAGCCTCTGCTGCTTTCCTTCCCACAGCTCACTGGCCAAACCAAGCAACTCCCTTTCCATAGCCAGCCCAGGGCTTTCCCACGGCCACGTCTGATTTCTCCTCTTCTCCCCTCACATGCCAGCTCCTCTATGAGTGCGAGTCACTGCCTTTTACCCTTCCTTAGCGCTCCTCAGTTGAGTGTCAATGTTCATGCGGCGTTCCTGATAGGTTTACAGGGTCTTCGAGAACAAGGGTTATGCCTTTTTCCTACTCACAGTCCTTAGCAGGAATGCAGAACTCTGAAGTTCTCCCTCTGAAGCTTTTTAAAATTTTTATTTTTTTCACAATTTATTCATTATATATCCTTATTGAAGCCCCCTCCCTCAACTCCTCCCAGTCCCACCCTCCCTGTCCTCCCACCCCCTTCCCCTAGTCCGCTGCAAGGGGGAGTTCCCCCCTACTGCCGCCTGCCATAGCCCGTCAGGACTGCCTGGGGCCTCTTCCTCCGTGCCTGGCACTGTCAGGGGGAAGTGAGCACAGAGCGGGTCACTGCGTCTTCTTTAGCTACTCTAAACCTTTTTGTTTTTTGAAACAGGGTGTAGCCTTGACTGTCCTGGAACTTACTTTGTAGACCAGGCTGGCCTCAAACTCACAGAGATCCACTTGTCTGCCTCCCAAGTGCTGTAACCTGATACTTTTTCATGCAAGGACAACCTGTTGATTAAGAGTAATCAACAGGCTAAACAAAACGCATTTGTCTACTGCTGTGATTAATTTTATACTGCTCCTTGACTGAGCAGGGAAATGACGAACTAATAACAACACCAATTACTTCTGAATCGAGTTCTTATGTACCCAGGCTGTCTCCAAACTGGGCCCTCTCTTGCCCCAGTGTCCTGAACACTGAGCTTAGGAACACTGCCACACCCAGCTCCCAGCAGAGCACGTCTAAAGCTCCCACATTAGGGGAAGAACAGCCCAAGTCACCTATGGGCTCTCTGTTTACAATCCAAACCAAACCCAAACAAAGGAGCTTCCATATTTGTAAAAACTGTTTTACTGAAAGAACTAAAAATTAGGCAACTAAAACAGCATTTTAACTCATATCCAAAGAAGCTACATTTTCTTTAGTGTGAGCAGCTTGCTGCGCTGAAAGATCTTCAAACAGAAGACCAAAATCCAAGGGCTGGGCCCCTGTGCTTGATTTTCTAGCACAGTTTATACCAGAATAAAAGGTCCAAATGTTTGGCTCAGAGTAAGCGAAAGGCTAGAACAAACTGTTCTCAAACAAACAACAGAAGTTAAGTACCTAGCTAGCGCTGCATGCTGCCGGACTAGATAATAAGCAGAGTTAGACCAGCAGGGTGGGTTCTCAGCTTCTGGAAACCAGAGCTTGTGGCACGTGTTTCTGATGCACGAGAACTGTATGAAGCATCTAAACAGCAGGAAAAAAAAGGTCTTTGAACTATCTGGAGGGGACAGTCATGGCTGTATCCGTGGGAAGTATGCTTTCTAGGTTCTCACCCACACACAGACCTCATCAACAGAACATGGTCAAAGCACTGGACACATCAGAACCACTAGGTGGAAACTTGAGACATTTCCTTCAACACCACCACACAGGTCAGCTACCGGGAAAGGGGAAAGGGCAAAGGGCCTTCCCAACGCAGCAACAGAAGCCTTTTGACAGGTGATGTGTGTTTTAACCAATACCTGAGTAGTGATCCCACACCAGGTAGAAGAAAACTCACCAGCAGCAATGGTTTCTGAATGTGCGATGGCCTAAAATCCATTCAAAAATAAATTTGTAAGGCATTCAAGGTGGGCCGGCAGTGTTGGCCATGCCACATTGTGGAATTCTACTGAGAACGTGTTCTGAGCACATGTGCATTCGACCACGCATGCCACCGTTCCATGCAACGCCCAATAGTGCTGCTCACAACCCCTAAGCTCACACTGGAGTGTTTTTGCTACATAGACGAAGTTTTTTTGTTCTTATAGAAACATAATTTAGGAGCATAGAACAAGGACCTAATATTTTCCTACTGTGATTTCTCAGCAGGTAATATCAAAACAGAGTATATCTTTGGACTGGACTGGACTAGACAAAGAAGCAAATCCACCTGTTGGCATAAATATTTGCTTTTATCTTGAATAAATAGTAAAAATATACGCACACCAAAGATTGTTTTAAAGCATATTATTAATGACTTATTATTTAATAAATGTTCAACTTGTATACCTATTTTACGTATCTGCATGTCTCGGATTGCTTAAGAATTTCTTGCGCCAAAAGGAGTCATGAGTGGGAACAGTTTAAGAAACCTGACCTAGAGCTGGTTGGTGGTGGTGCATGCCTTTAATCCTAGCACTCGGGGGCTGGGGCGATGGCTCAGTAGATAAGAGCACTGTCTGCTCTTCCAAGGGACCCAGGTTCAATTCCCAGCAACCACATGGCAGCTCACAACTGTCTGTAATGCCCATCCCAAGAGATCTGACACCTTCACACTAATGCACATAAAATAAAGTTGAATAAAATTAAAAAAAGAATCCTAGAACTCAGGAGGCAGAGGCACAGGGCCTGCCGTAAGCAACAGCCTTTTAACAAGTGATATGCGTCATCACCCAACTCTGTGGCAGCAACAGCAGACAACTGCCTCATGGTGATGTCATGGGAGGCACATGTTATCCACCTGTCATTTAATGGGAAGGCTACCAAGATCTGTGGTTAAGAACCCCCAGGGGACTGAGGTTCGATTCCCAGCACCCACGTGGTGGCTCCCAACAGCCTACAATCAAGACCTAGAGCCGACACCCTCTTCTGGCCTCTGTGTGCGGACGGTAGCCAGACATACATGCAGGCATCAGTCTACACATAAAATTAATTTTCAAAGAGAGAAAAAAATGTCTTCTCCAGCCAGGCACATGCTGGTAGTGGCAGCATACAGTGCTGCTACGGAGGCAGGAGGATCCAGGGGTTGAGCATTACTCTTGGCTACACAAGACCCCCTCAGGAAGACGTCAGACCTCAACCTGTGTAAGCAAAACTATATGACCTCAGCATACCGTGTTTATAAATACACACACACACACACACACACACACACACACAATAATAATTAAAGAATAAAAGGGCATGAATTTGAGAAGTGGGCATGGGAACAATTAAAGAAGATATGATGTAAATACCGTATTCATATATGAAATTATCAAAAGACAGAGGCAGGCAGAGCTCTGTGAGTTCAAAGCCAGGATGGTTTACAGGCTGAGTTCCAGTACACCTTGGGGCTACACACAGAGAAATCCTGTTCAAAAAAACAAACAAGAAAACCCCTAAGTTTTCTAAATATTTCCCTTGAATTCCAATTAGGTCGCTAGAAGTATAGATTTCCCCAAACTGAACAAATAAATAATCTTTTTACTCTATTGTGTTCTATAAAAAAGATAGGGCAGGGGCTGGAGAGATGGCTCAGTGGTTAAGAGCATTGTCTACTCTTCCAGAGGTCCTGAGTTCAATTCCCAGCAACCACATGGCGGCTCACAACCATTTCTAGTGAGATCTGGTGCCCTCTTAGAGTACTAATATGCATAAAAAAAATAAAATCTTAAAAAAAAAAAAAAAAGACAGGGCAATTCTCAAAAACCTTTAACAAACTGAGGAGGCTTCAGTATTTTCCTAACAGAGCCCTGTTTTATTCTAGACGTACAGTCACTTCTACCTGAGGCCATATTTATTAATTCATGATAAACTTACTCACCAGAAGGGAACACACAGTTCAGCTGTTATGGACATGCCAGATAAGCACACACTCTCCAAAGCGCTAGTCAGCTAACACCTGAGACATGGCAGAAAAACGAGAAGACGCTCAGTGTTCATCAACAGGGCACTGCACTGGCAGCTTCCGCTAGCTGAGACCTCCCAAGCGAGGAGCTGTTTCCAAGCCCTGCCCGCGGCTTGTGCGTTAACTGCTGCTCTTCTCACGCCACTGTCTCTCAGGCCATCCCTGGCTGCTGCTGTACTGGCAGCACTAGGGAAGCACGGCAAGTGTGTCCGAGCACTGCCAACTCCTGGCCTCGGCACCCACAGCTATCACTGTGCACAAGCCAAACACCAAGAGAAAAGACAGGAAACCACCCTAGGTCTCAGAACATAAGGCAGCCTAAGTGGACTTCAGTTTTGACTTTTTATTTTTTAAATAAGAATGGCACCGAAAGTCCTTTAACTTTCAAACTCAGACCTCTGTCAGACAGCCCACCTAGACACACAGTAATAGTCACTGTTGGCAGACAAAAAACACACTTAAACTCTGGGGGGCAGAGCAGGTGGACCTCTGTGAGTTCAAGGCCAGCCTGGTCAACAAAGCCAGTGCAGGAGAGGCAAGGCTACACAGAGAAACCCTGTCTATGGGGGGAGACTTAGAAAAATGGGGCTAACTGCACAGGTGGAGGGAATAGGCGGCTACTCTCTTCCACATTGAGGCGGTGGAGCTGCACAAACACATAACACTCTTGTTTTTAAACCTACAAGAAGATACACAGTCAATCAGGAAATGACAAGATGGTCCATGTCAACAGTGACCAGATAAATGGAAAGAAAAGGTATAGGAGATGTCAGTTCCTACCCACCAGAAAAAAAAGAGAAAGCATGTGTGTGTGTGTGTGTGTGTGTTGGGGGATCCTATGGTAATTGCTCAGTGTGTCAGACTGCACGCTGAGCACATGAAGACTTGAGCTAACACGTAAGAGTTGAGTGCAGTGGTGCACGGTGGGGGCAGCAGAGGCCTGCAATTGAGGGCCACAGGGGCCTGCTGGCCACACAAGCCTAAAACTGGAGTTGGACCCCTGGGTCCCACATGCAAGGAGAGAACCGTATCCTAAAATGTATCATCTGATCTCCACACAAGTGCCGTGGCATGTGCATACATACCAATGATAAACAAATACAAACCAACTTTACACACTGATGTTGACCCCTGGCCTCTGCCCACGTGCCACACACACCAGCACATATGTGTGTAGAAAGCAGACCTGAGGCAACTTCAGAGTCAAAGTCGAGTAAAGGTGGCTAGGGGAATGGAAGGTGCAGCGTTTCTGTTTGGGGTAGTGAAAAATGCTCAGCGGCGGTTTCTCAATACTGTAAGTGTACTCAACGCCACTTACGTTTACAATGTCGACAACAGTGAGTGGTATTAGACCTACAGGCATGTACACTCCTATCAGAAGTGAAGAGGAAGCACCGAGAGAGGGAGAAGGAGAGAGAGAGAAGGGGAGGAGAGACAGGGAGAGAGACTGTGGCCAGCCAGAAGTAGCAGAGCAGCAGCCCGCTGGAGTTCCACTGCAGTGCCCTCCCTCAACCTTCCTACCTTCCTCTCACATTCCCAAGGTCCTTCCTAAATCCTGCACGAACTTCTGGGAGTGATTACACCAGTCTTTCAGCCAGAGGCTCTGACATGAAGAAAGAGGCTCTGCCACCTTACAGCCAGAAACTGTTTATTCCACGTCTTCAGTCTATACAGTGCTTTGGAAGACTCATTCTTCTCATCACAAATTACTGAAGCAAGCTGGCAAGCCAGCAGATCCACTTTACGCTGCCTTGGCTGTGAGGGTGCTGCGGCTACATCTGCTCTGGCTGGCTAGGGAACCCCCTCCCCCCACAGCTCCACCTACACCACACCAAAGTTGAGCAGCACAGAGGACTGTTTTACTGGGAAGGGTATAAAGTAGCTGCACTCCTCCACTGGAACCTCAAAAAAACTTTTCACAGCCCAGATCTGCTTTGCTGGGACTGTTTAGCTAGATGAATTACAGTTCTTGTTTTAAGATAGGGTCTCTCTATGTAGCCCAGGCTGTCCTGGAGCTATGTAGACGCACAGAATCCTCCTGCCTCTGCCTCTTGAGAGCTGGGATTAAAGGCGTGCACTACCATTTTGGGCTGAATTATTAAGTGAGTAGGAAGTACATGGTTTTATTACTAGCAAAACAAAATAAAACCTAGAAAACACCGGACTCTCCAATATTAACATTATGTAACAGATAAATTTGAATTCAGGATGTCCCTGGTGGGCTATAAACAGGCTGAAAGACAGTCCTCAGTTTTTGTACTAGGCAAATGCTCTACAATGAAGTGAGCTACTACCTCAGCTCCTGTAAGTCTGTAAAATTCCTATAGCCTGGAAAACAAAAAGAGGTATGCATGCATCATTGATCAAAAATTCAGGGGAATTCCCAGAAATAGAAAGCAGATGAGATCAAAGGAGCAAACAAAGAAAAGTGAACTCTTCCCCAGTGTCAAGTGATGAGCCTCTCCTTGGCCGTGCCGTGGTGGGGGCAAGAGCAGGGCCTATGCAGGATTGCATAGGCCAGGCAGGTTCTCTCCCTCCTACTGTGGTTCCTGTCTTTTTCTCTATGGAAAGAACAAGAATATTCTTGCTTCTTGAAGTACCACTAAACAAATGGGTACCAGATGTGACCTTCCTCCCTCGGCCTCTGCAGGCCCGTACCAGGTGTGCTGACTCCACAGACGTGGTAACACCCATGTCTCCGACGCCTCACTGGAGAGATGTCGTAACTTTTACCCTTCGGGTTTCTTACTGACTTTCTAACACTGTCAACATTAGGGTCACTGTGGAACTTTTAAAAGGTGGTGGGGCCTGAGTCCAACCCCACAGGGGCTGAGTCGGTGTCACAGGCGTCGGAGAACAGATGTGGCTGGGAACCAGTGCCTCTCTCTCACTTTCCATCACTGTCCTTTTTGCTCTATGCTGGAAAAGGTTTTTGTTGATGGAATTATTTAGATCATCATTTGGTCAGCAGCTGTGGTCAATATTTTGTTTAGTCTGTTACAGAGACTTTTTAAATTAGTAATTTTTCCATTTTTACATGATTTTTTTTATTATTTGATTGCTCACTTTCCTTAGCACTTTGTACTTTGGTGACTGTTACTTCAAATCTTTCTGCAGATACTACTTAAGAGTTAAGAAAGGATATCTCTTAAGAAAAAGTGTATGGCTAACGGTTGTTTTGAGTGATGCGCTGAGCTTGTGTGTTCCCTGGTGTCCTTCAGGGGCACTCGGCGATGGTAGAACCTGGAAGAGAGAGAAAGGCAGGGTACCCCAAGTGTCAAAGCAAAGCAGGAGAGGGACGAACAAAGACGCCAAGATGGCAGGCAGAAAGTCTGCAATTTGCAGCAGGGTTTTACAGGGGGAAATGAAATGCTCTGGCAGAGGGAAGTAAAGGTTTAATTGCATAAAGAACCAGTCATGCTTGAATTCATAAGGGAAATAGCCAAGAGGGAATGAAAAGTAATGATTCAAGAAAAGACGTGTACAAGTTTCCCATTAATTAAACATTCACAAGCTGTATAAGTTAGGGCTAAATTAACAGTGTGGCTACGTAAGAAGGGTTGTTTTAAAAATATGCTACTATTTTAAAAATTAATTAATTCTATTTTATGTGCATGGGTGTTATGCCTGAATGTATATTGGCATACCAGATGCATGCCTGGTGCCTATGACAGCCTGAAGAATGAAGAGGTGTAAGATTCCCTGAGACTGGAGCTACAGATGGCAGAGGGTGCTGGGAATCGAACCTGGATCCACTGCAGATAAACGACCTTGAAATACTGACAGGAAAAATAGACAAAAGCCAAAAAGCTGACAACACAAACCCATCCCCCCCCCTTTAAAGACAGGGTCCCTGTACATAGCCTTGGCTGTCCTGGAACTCACGATGCAGAGCAGGCTGGCCTCACATTTACAGAGCTCTGCCTGTCTTAGAGGTGTGTGCGGTCACGCGAGGTGTCAGCACATCCTCTTAGAAAGAGAATGGCAAGTGCAGAGCAAGCTGTAGCAGGATCCTGCCTTTGGAAGAAATGTGTATTTGCTTATTTGTATTGCAAAAAGAAGTTTGCAAACGTCCTCGGCAGGCAGAACCCCACTGCTGGATAGTAATCACTGGAGAACAAGAGCAGCAGCTGGAGGAGGGCTGCAGGCCCACAAGCCTGGCGTGTGGGAGGAGAACCAGGAGGCTGGGCAGTTCAAGGCTAGCTGCGGCTACCTAAGACCTTGTCTCAACCACAGAGAACAGAATAACAACTGAGGAGAAACAGGCTAACATTTTTTTTTTTTTTTTTTTTTTTTGCTGATGTTGTTTTGGTTTTTGAGAAAGGGTCTCCACGTAGCCCTGTCTGGTGAACACCGCATTAAAGGAGTGCACGAGCGCACTATGCCAAGCCAATTTTTACTTCTTTTAGAATAGCTTCACACTGTTTATATTACTTCCATGGTCTTCTCAAACTTACGGGAACGATTCGTAGCATGATTCTGTTTTTGGAAGAAATGTGTAGGTATTTGCTTGGATGTATTCCAAGAAGTCTGCAAAAGAAAAAACTTCTCATTTTTTCTTTTCCAGTTAATCCAACATTTTAAAATTAACGTGGCCCCGTTGGTGGTGGCACACGGAGGCAGAGGCAGGCGGATCTCTGTGAGTTTGAGCCCAGCCTGGTCTATAGAAAGAGTTCTAGGACAGCCAGGGCTACAGAGACAAACCCTGTCTCAAAACAAAACAAATTACATCTGGTCTATTATTGGGGAGGGAGGGGTCACGCTACTGCATGTGCAGGTCAGAGGACAGGAGTCTCTTCTCTCCTCCCACCACATGGGAGTCGCCAAGAAGAGAGGACCAGGGCCACATCTCACTAGCTTTCTGTAGGCACATAGCACCTAGCAACTGAAGGGGAAGATGGTTCACAGAGTTGGGAGGATGGGGAAAGAACCCAGAACCAA